ATATATATATATATATATATATATATATATATATGTACATATATCATACCTGCTCCTATTTGCTTTTCACCATATGTAACTTTACCGTCAAAATCATTTATTGGTACCTTAATATCATTTTCTATTTGTTGAATTGTTATATTTAAGTGATCTTCTATATCTGCTAATAACTAATTTAATAATAGACTATTATTATAAATTATTATATTTTTATACATAGATTATAATTATTTTTATTTTTAATGTAATGTTTGATATGAAATAATTTCATTTATTTGAAAATATTACCCTCTGTTCATTGTACCAAATGCAACATCCACGTTGGTTCAACAGATTTGTTTGATTACAATTACGACCTCTAGATAAACACCAATTACCATGATACCATACTTTTTCTGGAACATTAGCCACTAAAGAAATAGCTAAACCCATTCTTTCAGCTCTTCCAACTCGTCCAATACGATGAAGATAGTTTGTCTTGTCATCAGGTAGAGTTATATTAATAACTAAAAAGGTATCAAATAATTAAATTTTTATATAAATATTAAAATGAAATTGCTATAAATTTATTTTAACTAAAAGGTAAGTTAATAACATCTAATCCTCTTGCTGCTACATCGGTACAAATTAAAAATTTGACTTCTTTCTGCTTAAATCTGTTCAAATTATTTTTACGTTCAATTGGCTTACGATCACTATGTAAACAAACACAAGTTAATTCTTTATCACCGGTTAGATTTAAATAAGATTCTAAATTATCACAATCGAGTTTTGTTCTACAGAAAATCATAGCACTATCCATTTTATGTTCTTTTATAGCTCTAAGACAGTATTCTCCTTTTAGTATTTTAACTGCTTCTGATAGAGCCTCTGAAATACACACATCAGGCTTAATTACTTTTATTATTTATTATTATTATTATTTTATTATTTATTATACCAGCTGTATTTCCATTTTCAATGTTATCATTATTATGTACACCATCAGTTGTAATGTGTCTTCTTAATTTTTGCCACAAATTATCTTTTCGAGGATCAACTATTACTACAACATGATGTACTGTTTCTGGAATTACATCTTCTCCTCTTAAATCGATCCATACTGGAAAATGCATCAAACGTTCCTAAAAATAATTATTTAAATTATTAATCTATATCTTTATTTTATTTTTTCTTTTAATTTGAAATACATACGGCCATATTTTTTACTTCAATAGCATGCAAACTAGCTGAACAAACTACCATTTGCAACCTTGTTTCATCACTTCTCACATTAATCATAAGTCTATGTAACTTGTTAATTAAGTTTTCATAATTTTGTTTTAATAATCCATCTGCTTCGTCTAATATAAAATATCTGTAGAAAAAAAAAAATTAATTAAAAAATAACATTACAAAAAATGTCTGAAACTTACTTGCATTGGTTCAATGATAAATATCCATTTTCCACTAGTGCTTCTAATCTTCCTGGAGTTCCAACAACAATGTCTACTCCATGATTTAAAGCAGTTTTATGAACTTTGATACTCTCTCCGCCAACTAATAGTAGGTTTTTTATTTCAGGATTTTTTATGTATTTTTTAAACTAAGAATTAACAAAAAAGATTATATTTACTACTTTCAAATATAATGAAATTGAATGTATCAATTTTACCTTTTCAATTTGATTATATGTTTGTTCGGCAAGTTCAAGATTCGGTTCTATTATAATAGCTAGAGGACCATTTTTAATTTGCTTCGCAGTACTTACAGTTTCACTTTTGTTTAAAGAACTGTTTACAACATAATTTTCTGATGCATTACAAATTGCAACGTAATCAGATGAAAGAGGATATTTAAATGGTTGTGTTCCAAAATTAATGGATATTTTTACATTCTTCATAACCACAGCAGGTAAAAAAGTTTCTAACTTTTCTTTAGAATTTAGATAAAAAGCTGTGCCTAGATCTACTCCATTTTTCCAAAAACTTATTTCTCCATTATCTAAGTCAATAGTACAGCTAATAGCATCATGTATACTAAAAGATTCACCATACTCAATAAATTTATTTCCATTACTTTTCTTTCCTGTTCCACCATAGCCCCATCCAAATATATCTGTACCCAAGTTTAAAGCTGCCTATATTTTAAAATTAATTAATTCTTACTTCTTGATATTGTTAAGAATAATTAATTATCAAACCTGAGGAGTTGACCATCCAACTCTGCACAATCCCTCAGACTTCACAATAATTTCATAGTAATATTTTCCACTTCCTTGAATACCTTTATTAGCTCGACATCCATGCCATTCCTTTTGATGTTGACTGTGACAAAGAAGACCATTGCCAATTATATAACAAGCATTAGTACTATCGGATCCATTTAAAATCCAAGTTGATGCTACATAGAATAATAAATAAATAAAAATTGCACATTAAATAATTTTATAAATATATAATAAATATATTAAAATTTTATAATAATAATAAATACATAATCATTCTACGTTAACTAATAATTTATAGCATTTTAATGTTTAAATATAATTAGTAATATATACAAATCATGTATACATATAATATAAAAAATAATACATACAAATTTCATCTGTTAATTTTGGAAGCTGTTTGTTCTTCAAAGTTTCCAGTACCAGTTGTAATACTGGAATACAGAAGGCTCCAGTTTTTCCATTACCAGTTTCTGCAGCCATTAATACATCACCTCCTCCAAGAATTAATGGAATTGCTTCTGCTTGCACATCTGTAGGAAGCCTAAAATGTAAATAAAATAAAATTTTTACATATAGTTTAGTAAAAAATAATAAAATATTGTTTAAAAATTAAACAACTAACACCCATTCCATTTCATCGAGAGCCCTAGTAATTTCAGGTAAAACACCCATTTCTAGAAAGAGAATAAGCAAAATATTAAATTAAATAATTATTATTCATTTCAATTTATCTTCATTAAAAATTTCTCTTAATTCGTATAATAACGAATAATAATTCATAATTAAATTTCCGGAAAAGAAATTTCATACCTTCAAAAGCAGCCATTTCCTTTTAGTTTGAACAATACGTGTTTTATATAAATTATACTTTAAGTAGCTTGTGAAAAAATTAGATTTTTATAAAATCCAGGATACGAATTTTTCGTATCTTTCTCCATATAATAATTTTCAGGTTAATGCAGGACCAACGCAAGTTAAGATGTGTTGACGATGGTCAATTACTATAATTGATTATTCTTGCAGTAGTATTATAATATAATCTGTACAATTCGCAGTGTTATGAATAAAATATTTTGTTTCCTTTACTGAAAATATTAGTTTTGTGCGATATATAATAAATCAAACGTAGTATAATTAAATTTTATAATACGTAAAAATAATTGGTTTAAAGCATTAGCTATATAAACTAATATTCTTTTTTTTTCTTTTCGAATTTAAAGATAAATTAAAGTAAATATCATTTAACCTTAAATCAGAAAAATGAATAATGTTCAATAATAATTTTTCAAATACTTTTAGATGAGTCGAAAGGAAGCATTATCGCAATTTATTCAGCAAATTCATGGACGGCCAGTTGTTGTGAAACTTAATAGTGGTGTTGATTATAGAGGTAAAAAATAATTTGAATTGTAATACATTTATTTATAAACGTTCAGTTTTTATAATTAAAGATTACATTATTTTCAGGAGTTTTAGCATGCTTAGATGGTTATATGAACATTGCACTAGAACAAACTGAAGAGTATGTTAACGGTCAACTGAAGGATAAATATGGTGATGCATTCATAAGAGGCAATAATGTATTATATATTAGTACACAGAAACGAAGAACTAATTAAAAAATGTCAGCTATCATAGCTGTTAAATTATATTTATTTGCAATTTTTATTTTAACCAAATTTATACTCATATTTGTAAGCGTAAAATAATAAAAAATTTTGTTTACAATAGGTGATATTTTATTTATTCATTTAATTTGTAAAATTATAAATTATATTAATAATTAATTTCATCAAATAACTTTTGAAAATTATCATCAACAGTTTTAGTGACTAATTCTATTTTGGATTTCTTTGAAACTTGATCATCATTTTCATCTTGAATTATTTCATTTTGTGTGCAAATTTGATCAGCATCGATCATTCCAAGTCTATACTTTTTCAAATGAGTATGAAGATCTTTTTTGTGGCCTAAATGTTCACATTTATCCAAAAAATCATCAAAATCTAATTTAGGAAATAATCTAAATGCCCAATATTCAAGCCTTTTCATAACTCTATTAAGATCTTCCACTTCCGATCCTTTACCATTAAATTTAAATCCTTCATAGAGTTTTTCAATCGTATGAATACCTTTGCATCCTTTCAGTCTTTCCGTATTTAAAACATAAAGTTTTCTTGATACACGTTTTTTTGTAACAACTGAATCTTTATTCTGTACAGTTTCATCTTCATTTTTAACCTCATTCAAATCAGTATCATCTTCGTTATTTTCTTGTACTATATTATCATCATTCTTCCTTTGATTATTTTCATACTGTCTAACAAGATCATCTTCATCATTGAAATCTGATAATTCAGAATCACACATTATTTAATTAATATTTGCAAAATAAATTCCAAATATAATAAGAATTGATTTTGTGTACATATACATAATATAGAATAATATGATGGTTTCCGTCAATTTTTTTAACAATGCATAATATTAAGAAGTAAATTCAGTTTAATTAACAACTATTCTTTAAAAAAGTATGCAAGTTTTTATACTTTTTTGTCTTTCTTTTATAATTTTATAAATTAATTATACTTTTCACTATTATCATGAAATACTTGATTTTTAATCGAAATTTGTATCGCTGTTATCTTCGTAATCACTATTGTCATTTAAGTACTGATTTTTGCCTGTTTGTGAATTTATTCGATTAAGAAAAGATACGAGTAATTTTTTGTTTAATTTATCGTTCTGCGTTATTTCTGGAACTGATGAAGTAGTTTCTTCGCGTTGTACATTTTGTGGATCTTCAACTTCTAAATCTTTTCGAACCTCGTTACTGGTGCCTTGCTCTTTAGGTGTACCCGTCATGTCAAATATTGATTAAGAATAAGAATATAAAAATAACAGCTTGTTCCATAAAAATAAAATTGCAGATATAAAATTGGTACTTATAAAAGTATTATATACATTATCAATCCTGTACAAAACGTATTAATCATAAACTAAATATTAAATGATTATTTAATTAGTAGTTTTGAAGAATATTAACTATTTTCCAGACCAATATTTATTACAGATTTTAAAATAGCAAATGTAAATGACTGTGCACCTACTTCACGCATGCGCTGTAAAACTATAAATTAATTAGCCTTTCTACAATGCATATTCATGTTTTAATGAAGTAATGAATTACAAATATTCTATCAGGTTAAGACTTCTAAATCAGAAAAAAGTACAAGTCATTATATTTCTGTTTGCTCCTTCTGGAATTATAATATTATACTACTTTAGTGTTTTAATATTTTTCCACCTCAATTTATTTAATAAAATATTCATGATTAACAATTTTCAAGAACTCACACCACGTATATTTTAGATATATTTATATTTTGCTTTTAAAAAATTATTTTTAATTTATTGTAATTGTACTATTGCTAATTTTTGTTTAACATTACGTATTACTCGTGAATGGATTATAATCATATTTGTATAAAAGGTAATCATTATGCAGTAGTTGGTAGTTATTAGGTAAAATAAAATTATCATCATCAATAAATTGATAATATTTTTTCATAAAATTAGCATTTACTTATTTTTAATTGTATCATTTATATATGTGTGTGCGCACGCGTTTGTGGCTTAATAAACATTTATGTTTAAATAATAAAAAATCTGAGTTTTATAGTATTTATAATATCATTCTTTTCTAAACCAATCTACATGCAAATACACTAAGAAATGTAAACAATAAAACTCTTTTTTAATTGGATCCTTACAATTTGGATTAAATTATTAAATTTAATTATTAAATAACGATTAAAAATAAATGCTTTAGTAAAAAAATAAGGATATTTCATGGGAATATAAATTTAATAAAGCTAGAGACAAGATAGTTCATATGAATTTTTAACAACATCTACAAATCTTATGATTAAAAATATGTAATATAAGCTAATTTTAATTGTAAAATAATTGTTTATAATAATGCGTTCAAATCATCATCTTTCTCCTAATGATCATGTACTAATTATTTTGTAACTCATAACTTAATGTATTTTATTGGTAGTCCATAAGAATGTGAACATTTGTATAATATATAATAAAAAAATTTTATTTAAATACAATGCTTTTACAATAAAACGTTTCTTAAAAAAAAAAAAACATTAAAAAATTGTTAAAAATAGAATGTTCATATATTATATATGTGCGTGCGCGCGCGTGTGTGTGTAAACTAACGGATGTCCACATTAAAATTAAATGTTTAAATGGAGTAATTAATGGCATTTCTTCTATATTTTTTCTTAAATTTGAATTAGTATCAACATAATCGACCACATAGGGACTATTTTTAATAGTCAAAATAAAAATTGATAATTAATTGTTACATGAAAAGTAACTATAAACTTACAACATTATTAACAAACATATTATTTATGCTAATAGTAGCACAAGGAAATTCGTCGCATTAGAAAAAGATTGTGAAGACAAATTATTATATTGTTGAAATAATTACAAAGAAATGTATATACTGTAATTTAATTTTCATCTTCTTTAGGTACTAGATGACTTATAGCAGCTCAGTGGACTGAAATATACACTGTTACATGACACTCTTAATTGAGTTAAATAATTCAATTTTATATAAAAAGTATCAATAAATATAATTGTAATTATCAATAATTTATTATAAAATTAAGTTAAGATAATTCTTTATACTATACAATAAAATTAATAAAATATGGATTATAAAAATCATGGTAAACATTGCAAATATGATTTGTATATTTTATCATTTTCTTAATTTATTTTTTTCATTCAATATTTTCAATTTCTCTCGTGCATTAAAAATTTTTAAGCACTAAGCAATATTATTATGATCGATATGCATTGTATTTTTATTTTATGGACATTAAATTTAACCCTCCTTTCTCTTTCAATTACATTCCATCTTTATTTACTTCTTTTGCTTTGGCCACCTTTTCGCATTCATACATGTATACTAATTTTAATTATCATTGTTGTTTTCACAGAATGCTTATTATATCTGTTTATTTTTTGTTGTTTTGGGTATTTTATATTTTAATACATATTATTGTACTTCCCTTTTGCTAAGCCTCTTTCAGCCTGTTGCTCAGTCAATTTCAATCTATATTGTTTCATTATCAGATAAAAAATATTAATTTGATTTAGACATTATTTCACATTTAATTACCAGAGAAAAATTACTCGACACGTTATTTTATTATATAAATTAAATACATTTTGTTCATATTAAATATTTTTATAATTATTGAAAGTTAAAAGTTAATAATTAATAATTTTTATAAAATATTCTATAAATTTAGTCCTTTATTAATTTATGAATACTCCCTATAAGTTTAACATTTTTTGATATTATAAGAGTTAGTAAAATAAATTGTATAATTTACATAATTAGAGCATTTCGTTACTAATTTAATACAACTTATTATTATATACATTATAGTTATATCATTTCCATTGATTTCAATGTACAAATATTTTATCATTTTATAAGAAACTAAAATTACTTCCTTTAAGCAATATTTATAAGTTAACAAAAGATACTCAAATTAGAATTTGTACATTCTATAAGTTATATTTACAATAAAATTATCTTGTCCTTGAAATTCAGAATAGACGTATTATCCAGAATTTTTATAGCAAAGATCCGATATTCATTCAATAAAACTCGAGAAGTAAGATTTTCCTACGAAGCTTGTTTTCTAACTTTAACATTAATAACGAAATTTTTTTAATATTGTTATTATCGACAAATAATATGAATTGCATGCAATTATATAATTTGTAATGTAATTTTGTTAATACTTCCTTGGTAGAAAATTATGCCAATATAAGCAGATTTTCACATACTAATTTAATTATGAAATGAATTAGTTGATAAATGAAAAGCTAACTTATTTTTCGCAGCTTTAAAGTTATTTATATTTTAGGTACACTGTGATTATAAAAGTACGAATAATACAATAATCGCAATTGCTAATATAATAGGAGGTTTAAATATTATAATGAAGTATCAAGAGTTTTTGTTTCATTATTAAATTTTAACTTTCAGCGACGAAAAAAATGTTTATATAAATATTACTATTAAAGATTCGTATTTTCTTATCAGAATATTTTTGATTTACATATTAAATTTATAAATTATATAAATAACAATATTTTAAATAAAAATTCAAATATACTGTAGCAACTTGTGAATATTTCAATATTTATGCTAATATTAGAAGTAAATTAAGAAAATATTAATATTTCATAAGATATTTATGTAAAGAAATTAAATGATTTATACGTACGTATGCAGAAATAACAACACAGCATTCATACATAAATAAATAAACACACAGAAATATAGTTAAATAGATAGGCAGACAGATAGATATATACATAGACAAATATCATAAACAAATAGATACATAAATAATATTTATTTATCTATTCAAAACATATTTGTAGATACGTAAAGAGAGAAGGAGAATGTAAGAGTCCTTGCTTGTAATATAACTATATTAACTATAAGTAGATACATACACACGCACGTGTCTAAATTACATAAATCTATTATTATTTTGCTTTAAATATTTATATAAATAAATATAAGTACGAAAATATAATTACTAGTTCATACTTATACATAATATTTTCTAATTAACTTAATAGATATTATTTGAAAAAAAATTATTAAAAATATTTGTCCAGTGTTGTTATATATAAAATACCGTATTCGTATTATTTGCAATTTAATTAATGTATAGTAGAATTAAAATTAATTATAACTATTTTCTTAATACTTCATTTTTTATTAATATATGTAAATCGATAGATAATAAATCATGATATAAACACAACAATTTAAATAGTATATAAAAAGTTCTCAGATTTTTGCTGAGCACCTGCACTCTTAAATTTTCCCAATAATTCTATTTTTAGCGCATTTCCTCCGTCCTTCAATATACGAGTGAAATCGCACAGTATATAAAGTCGGCACGATATTTTCTCATCATAAGCGAATATATATATATTGCCTAGATATAGTTTATTATATATATATATATATATATTTGTTTATTTGTATAATTTTTTACAACTATAAAATCTTAATTTATACGTAATTATAAAAACAAAAAATAATGTAGATTGTAAATATGTAGTTACAACGAATAGAAGACATAGGGGTATAACGAAAATATTGTTATTAAACTAGAAGCATAGATAAAATCTATTTCCTTTTATTATTACGAACAATGATGATTATGAGACTAATATATAAATTTTATTTCTATGTATAAATAAAATAAAATTACATTGAAATATAAAATTTCTGTTAACGGGTCCGTATATGTTTATATTTTTATATTGTATCATAGAAATGAGGTCGGGTTGATAGTAGGTCTT